TTCCAGAGGATGGGGGAAGCTCTGGAGAAGTCCTGGAGACGAGCATGGGAGGAGGAGACAAGGGAGCTAGAGAGTAGGTGGTCTTGTGAGGAGCGGAGAGTATGGTTTGGGTGATATTTAGAGACAAGATCGGTGATGTAATTTGGGGCAGGAAGGTGGATGAGTCTGGAAGCAGCATTCGTGATAGACTGAAGAGGGGATAGCCTGCGTTGAGGTAGGCCACTGAGGAGGGAGTTACAATAGTCAAGGTGAGATATAACAAGGGAGTGAATAAATTGCTTAGTGGTTTCCGAGGTTAGGAACGGGCATATTTTGGAGATGTTGCGGAGGTGAAGTCTACAAGATTTGGACAGTGAATGGATTTGGGGGTGAAAGGACAGATGGGAGTCTAGGATTACACCTAGTACCCTGGCATGAGGGGAGGGACTGATGATTGTGTTATTGATCTTGAAGGAGAAGTCAGGGGAGAGGGCACGGGCTGGGGAGAATACTAAGAGCTCAGTTTTGGAAAGATTGAGTTTGAGGAAGTGGAGTGACGTCCATACCGATATGTCACTTGTTAGGTTAGTAATGCAAGTGGAGACTGAAGGGGTGAGGTGAGGGGTAGAAAGATAGATTTATATGTTTTCAGCATAGAGATGGTACTTAAAGCCGTGGGAGTTTTATCAAGTGACCAAGGGAGGAGGTGTAGATGGAGAAGAGAAGGGGTCCAAGGACAGAACCTTGAGGGACCCCTACAGAGAGAGGGAGTGAAGAGGAGGAGGCAGCGTTATAGGTAACACTGAAGGAGTGCTGCGATAGGTAGGATGAGAACCAGGAGAGAGCAGAGTCTCTGAGGCAAGAGAGTGGAGTTTTTTGAGGAGGAGGGGATGGTCAACCGTATCAAAAGCCGCAGAGAGGTCAAGTAAGAGTATGGAGTAGTGGCCATTGGTTTTAGCAGTTAGTAGATCATTAGTGAGTTTTAGTAGGGCAGTTTTAGTGGAGTGGAGTGAGCAAAGACCAGACTGTAAAGGGTCAAGAAGGTTGTTGTCGGTGAGGTGGGAGCTCAGGCGATTGTAGACTAAGCGTTCTAGGAGTTTAGAGGTAAATGGCAGCAGGGAGATGGCTCTTAAGTTGTTCAGGTTGGTGGGGTCCAGGGAGGGCTTTTTAAGTATGGGAGTGATGTGTGCATGCTTTAGAGGGGAGGGGAAGGCACCCGTAGAGAGGGAAAGATTGAAGATGTGAGTGAGGGAGCATAGGATGGAAGAAGAGGGTGACCGTAGTAGTTGTGAGGGGGACAGGATCCAGGGGGCAGGTAGTGAGATGGGCTTCTGAGAAAACCTTATTGACCTCTTTGGTAGTAGCAAGATGGCTGTATGGTCAGTTCCTAAAGGGCTTAGTCTCTCTAGCAGCAGATAGTAAGGTTTCACAGCAGCAGATCACCAGTCCCAGTGATATTACAGCTCACCATCTGGTCACACACAGTGATAAGTCCACTCTCTGCTCTACATCCAGGTGACTCTGTCGACACCCCCAGCTTCAGCACTCCAGATCCCGCTCAGTCCTCTCAAATGGAACAGTGGTGGTGCACACTGGACAGTGATGTCCACTCTCTGGTCCCCTCACAGCAAGAGGAAGCTGTGTCCTCTACAGCCTGAGAAAATGTAGCTCTTTCCCCTCTTCCCGGCAGTCTCTCTTTGGGAAATGCAGTTCAGAAGCTTTTGATCACAGTAGTCTCTCTTCCCTGGACTGCCTGTGCCCAGGGACGATCACTGTGTAAGATATTACATGCAAGTAGCCAAGATTAGCTGCGGAAGTCAACAACCTCCCATCGCTTTTAATGTTGCTGCCTCCCGCAGCTAATCATGGGATTCTGTGCTGGGGTTCTCACACCTAATTGGAGCTCAGGTGCATTCACAGGTTGACTGCCTAAGACTGCCAGTGGTGCAGTGCATGAGTAGTTTAAGCAACATTATCTTTTAAAAACAAAAGACTATACCATGTGAATAAAAAGTGAACGCTCTAAGCCCTCTGGCAGTGTTTCAGTTTCTTCCAACCCCTGTAACTGTCACTTCTGCTCGATAGCTTGTTCTGCAAGTGCATGTAGAGAAAACTATAAATAAAGGCAAATGAGATTAAAAAAAAAAAAAGGAATTCATATGCCGAATGCTATTATTGTTTTCCCCACTTTAAAATGATCAGAATATATTTTTCAGAATAGTGTCCTTTGCAGTGTACTGTGCAAAGAAGGTGCATGGACGGTCTGTTTACTTTAGAAGTCTCAATCACAACATTGGCTGAGCAGAATCTCAAATCCTTTATTTAGTTGTTTGCCTGGAATTCAGATTTAATAGGACATAGCATTCATGGGAAAATGGGAATTTTTAACCAACCTCTGCATTAGTGTATCACAGTGCACATCGTTTTTTCCCACTGAAGTTTTTTAATAATAAGAGCTAGAGAGGTATTGGAAAACCCCCCCATAAATAATTCTTATAACCATTTATTAAATCCTTTAAAACAATCTTTGATTACAGTAAAGTTCAGAAATCTGACCGGTTGTACTTTTGTATGCTGGTCTGGATTAAAAAGGCCTTTGCAATGCTCCAGGTTAATTTACTAGTCAATTTAATAGCTATATCTATTGGTGGTAACCTCTGTCATATAATTTCAACATTTTAAAAAAAAATCATAAGTGTGACACTAAATCTTTGTTCAGACTGCTTCAGTCCTGTATTAAATCACGTGAAAACATCTGTATTAGGATAGTATTTTTCTTAAATATCCACTTTTTCTTGTAATAAATCTCTCAAGTATAGCAAAACGGGATAATGGAGTTCTTTTAACTAGAAATCTTGTATAGCTCATTAATTTATGAAACTAACATGATTATTGCCGTTAGCAATTCACTTGTCACTAGATATTATAATTAGAGCAAATTTGAAAAGAAGTGCGCACATTTCATTATAAAGAAATAAGTCACATTAACTTGGCTTCTGTTTAAAGGACATTTTAAAGGCAGGCTGTGTTCTGTGTGGTATATGGATAAATGTGTGACAAAAAGGGTGTTAGCATAGAAAGTATGGCCACCCGCACACAAAAGTTAATTGTTGCCTGCATCTAAAAGCGATCACACATCTGTGGGCTAACTCGGAGCTGTGAAGACAAATCAAGGCCAAGCCACTTGCATCATCCAACTTTTTTCATATCTGTGGATAGATTGAAACAAGTAAATATTCTGTGACTGCATAAGTCTGATATTGAAATTGTGTTTGCTAAGGATCTGTCTGCTCAGTAATTACTTTTAATTTAGTGCTGTGGTCTCCAAACTGTGGCCTGGGAGATAGATGCGACCCTTTACTTGCTTTTATCTATTCCTTCTACTGATACCAACGATGGGGCATTATTTCTATCACTAACACCAATGATGGGGCACCATTCCGCCCCCAAATACTAAGGATGGGACAGTGTTTACTTCCACTGACACCAGGACATTTTCTACTCCCACCAGCCACAGTCCGGCCCCCCCAAAGTTTGAAGGACTGGTCCTTTGAATAGAAAGTTTAGAGACCCCTGATTTAGAGGAAAAAATTGATGAACATAGCAATTTGTATCACACCATATATCCGCACTACCCCAGTAAAGCAAGAAAATCCTCCCTTAAGTTTTCTCTAGCTGGTCTAGTATTTCTGGTATATGAATTGAGGACACCTCTGTGATTGTTCTTGTCAAAATTTTCTTGCGGTCACCTGGCTTCTTGTCTTGATCCATCCAATAGGCAGCAAGACTGATCTCTAATTCTGTTGAAATTATTTGTATTATACAACAATTTAGCATGTATTTGGCATCCTTCCATTTTGTGCATTTATTTTTATTGTTTGGGAGATATTTGCATTTAATATTTTAGGCTACTTGGTTATCTTGTGCTCATTTATATTGGTTTGTTATTTAGTGCCCTTTTTTCTCAACTATGAACTTATTTTAGTTTTGGATAACATAAAGCAAGGTTCAGTTCCCAGCCAGCTTTCAGTGCTGTCTGTTAGATGTCCCCCACCCTTCACCCCAACAACACATATGCATACGCCACAAGCCTGTGCACTGCCAGTATATTACTTTGGAGAAAATACTTAGAACTTCTCTGTCCTACTCTCTATAGTGGATGCTCCTGAAGAATATATGTAGAACTCTGTTGGGCTGGTGATAATGGTAGCTTGGTTGAGAAAGTGCACTGTGACAATGGTGCTTACAGTAGGGCAGGTTTGACCACCAGGCTGATGACAGCCAAGAAAACCTAGCAAGGGGTCAATTGTTACCCTTTGCTGGAATAAACATAGCCACAAATGTATCTATTAATATAGATGATGAATGGAATCAGTTCTGTGATAGATGAATGTATTATTTGATTTGCTTTTAATCTGACATTGCATACAACATCACAGGATGCCCTATCATCTTCTGTGATGTACAGTACCTGCTTGTTGTTCAGGACCGATTCTATTCCCTTTTATCTGCCTACTCTTGCAGAAGTCCCTTGCTATTCTGTACATACAGTTGCCACGTTTATGTTGCCTTTGCTGTACAGTGTTTCTTGAAGTGAACACAGTTTGAGTACAGTGATGCGTTCCCTGAATTTCAATGAACAAACCAGATTTCCAATTAAGCTACATGTGGAGATTTATTACACCTAGGTTTTGCCCATTTACAATACACTGCAGCATATTTTATTTGTCTCCTTGGTGGAAAATATACAATTACACTTTAGAATGACTTATTCCTGTTCTATGTATGTATTAAAGCTACCAGCCGCTCAGCAAGTCAGTCTCCAAATCTTTATCAGTTTTTTGTTACCTAGTCACAAAGCAACCAACGTCTCAGGAGAAGTCGAGGGACGACTGTCATTCTCGCTGCAGCCTTCATGTGAAAATATTCTGATTCTTATATAATGTGAAATAAAGATGTAACATGCCTGCATTTATTTAAATATGTATGGAACTCAGTTCTTGTAATGTTCTTTGTCTCACAGGGATTTTGCATATGTTGCCAGAGACAAGGATACAAGGATTTTAAAATGCCACGTGTTCCGATGTGACACACCAGCAAAAGCCATTGCAACCAGTCTTCACGAAATTTGTTCTAAGGTAAGATTCAAGGGGGGGGGGGGGGGGGGGGGGCATATTAAATGATGCAGCTTACTTACTTACTTGAGCGTATTTGTTGGAGGGGAAAACTGTAATATTGATATCTGCTAGTGCGACCATGGATATATACAGATTTGATTCGCGTATACAGGCACAGTTTTACTACCAGAGAATATTTTCTTACAATCCACCGACTCCTGTTATGCTGTATGAATGTGCACATAGGGACGGTAACTGTTTTTATAGAGTATGTGGTCTCTTCCATGCTCTAGTACCTCTTCCTATCACTCATCAGCTTAAAGATGTGACATTCTTACTGCAACGTCTGGTTTCAATTCCCCGCTGGCACATGACAGCTTAGTATAAACACACATTTCAGGTAATAACGCTTGCTAACTAAAGTGTGTTTTTATGTCTTTGCTGTAATTTTTTAGCTGATCCAAAATCTATCCCCAGCTACAGCTGTTGTACATAATTGCTTGAAACTTGACCCCATGTAACCATCCATCTTCACGTGACTGGAGGTTTGAAGTGAACACTGGTTCATGTCCGTTCACCCTTTCCTCCATTCACAGACGTAAACCAGCTCTTTTGTTACTGCTCTGTCCATATCCACACGTGGAAGTGCAATGCTAGGAAAGCTTCCAGACACAAAAAAGTGCATGATGTGCTTGCTGCTTTGAACTTCTACATTGTGTTGCCCTGTCTGCTGAGGATAGAGAGATCATCCTAAGCATTCCTAAAGATGATCAATATGGAAAATAATGAAATGACTCTATAAAATAAATCCATTAACAGTGGAAATGTTTGGTGTCTTACAGATTATGGCAGAAAGGAAAAATGCCAAAGCTACGGCTTGCAGTTCCTCGCAGGAAAGACCACATGCTAGCCTGGATGTACCACTGCAAGGTAGACAATGTTACTACACTACTGTGCTGCAGCACTTTATCATTGTCTTCTTATTTATAGTGCAGGATCTGTCTGAAGCAGATTGCTAAAGGATAACTAAACCCAAGAGCAAAAATGCATTATATCACAGCTTACAGACTTCAGATGTGCTGGCTGCTTGGTTTTCTTTTTTCCAAGCTATGAACATTGTCAGCAAATACAGAATATATGTTCATCTTGCCAGAAATGCTTTGTCCTTGTCACTTCATGCTGCACAGAGGAATATCTTCCTTCATAGCTATCCTCTGTAAACAGTATTTGTAGTACATATAAGGAGAACTGTCTAGGGTGACAACCATGGCTCCCTCAATAGGTACAGTGGAGTGACACAGCCACACGGGGAGAGGAAGTGTGTTATTTGCAGGATTACCAGGTTTACCAGTTGTTTCCAGCAGGTGCTGAACTGCATGTAATAACAGTAGCTTTCATTTAGCTGAATAACACCTTTGCTGTGAAAACGACCTGAATACTTGGTAGATGAGATAACAGACTGCAGTCATACACTACTCCCCTTGCTCTTCTAGCAGAGACAAGACCATTCAGCTTAGTCAGTTACTTATATGATGCCTCAACTCATACAAGCAATGCTGGGCTTTCTTAGTATAAAACCCAGCATGCTTTGTATATGACGTATCATGGATGTACCTTGTATTAAATGTTTGATTATGTCACCAACTGTCAGTTCTGCCATAAGACTGTTAATGCTTACTAATGACAGTATTAGTAAGTCTATGAATGTATACAAAAGGGGGTGCCTATCTAGCCATCATTTTGTTTTCATTATTTGCAGTTTCTATGCCATACAGTGGATATAAAAAGTCTACACACCCCTGTTAAAAGGTCAGGTTTCTGTGATGTAAAAAAATTAGACAAAGATAAATCATTTCAGAACGTTTTCCACCTTTAACCTCCCTGGCGGTATTCCCGAGTGTAGCTCGGGGTAAAGTTTCAGTACCACAAGCGGTAACCCTGAGCTACACTCGGGCTTACCATGCGGCGCTGCTCCGGGATCCCTCGATCACTTACCTTGTCCTCCGCTCCTGCGATGTCCCTCCTGCAGTCTCCCTGGCAATGTAATCCGGCGAATGCCGGCATCTGTCATCTGGGTACCGTCCCCTGTGAGCATCGGGACGTACGGGGGACGGAACGGTGGGAAATTTGAAAATGACAAAAAGTGACATTCACTAAAATCACATAGTAAAACATTACTGTATCAAAGCATTTCACATACATTTTGTCCCGAGTGCTTTGTCCTGTGCCCTGCCTGCATTTTTTACCGTTCTTTCTGCCTGGAAACTGAGAAACATCCATGGCGTCCAAAAAGCGTCCCTTTAGGTCAAAAGCAGTTTTAGACCAGCTAGAGAACAGCGATAGTAAATCAGAACCACTTGCAGAATTGAGTGATAATGATTCGTGGGGAAATTCGTCATCAGACACTGAAAACGATTCTGCGACTTTGCTCAATGATGTGCGAACTTGGCGCTCTATTTCAAATTTCAGTGTTTTTGGTTTGATTACATTATTGAATTAAATTTATTATTATATTATTATTTTTTATGATTATTTATTCAATTATAATTTATGATTTCGTGTTTCAAGTTTCATCCTACCCGGGATGTTTACTAGACTTTTGTTCGGACAGATTTCAGTGAGTTATTCCTAAAAAATTACAGCCTACAATTAAAAAAAAAACATATTTCAATGCAAAAAAATTTACCGCTTTGAGCACAGAAATATGGACATAATCATACCGCTAGGGAGGTTAATGTGACCTATAAACTGTACAACTCAATTGAAAAACAAACTGAAATCTTTTCTTTGGGGGGAGTAAACATAAAAACCTAAAATAATGTGGTTGCATAAGTGTGCACACCCTCTTATAACTGGGTATGTAGCTGTGTTTAGAATTAAGCAATCACATTCAAAATCATGTTACATAGGAGTCAGTACACACCTGCCATCATTTAAAGTGCCTCTGATTAACCCCAAATAAAGTTCAGCTGTTCTAGGTCTTTCCTGACATTTTAATAGTCCATTCCTACAGCAAAATCCATGGTCCGCAGAGAGCTTCCAAAACATCAGAGGGATCTCATTGTTAAAAGGTATCAGTTAGGAAAAGGGAATTTCCAAGGCATTAGATATACCATGGAACACAGTGAAGACAGTCATCCAGTGGAGAAAATATGGAGCAACAGTGACATTACCAAGAACTGGACGTCCCTCCAAAATTGATGAAAAGACGAGAAGAAAATTGGTCTGGGAGGCTTCCAAGAGGCCTACAGCAACATTAAAGGAGCTGCAGGAATATCTGGCAAGTACTGGCTGTGTGGTACATGTGACAACACATCTCCTGTATTCTTCATATGTCTGGGCTATGGGGTAGAGTGGCAAGACGGAAGCCTTTTCATACATAGAAAAAACATCCAAGCCCGGCTAAATTTAGCAAAAACACATCTAAAGTCTCCCAAAAGCATGTGGGAAAATGTGTTTATGGTCTGATGAAACCAAGGTTGCACTTTTTGGCCATAATTCCAAAAGATATGTTTGGCTCAAAAACAACACTGCACATCACCAAAAGAACACCATACCCACATTGAAGCATGGTGGTGGCAGCATAATACTTTGGGGCTGTTTTTCTTCAGCTGGAAATGGGGCCTTAGTCAAGGTAGAGGGAATTATGAACAGTTCCAAATACCAGTCAATATTGGCACAAAACCCTCAGGCTTCTGCTTGAAAGCTGAACATCGTTCAGCATGACAACAACCCAAAGCATACATCCAAATCAAAGGAATGGCTTCATCAGAAGAAGATGAAAGTTTTTGAATGGCCCAGCCAGAGCCCAGTCCTGAATTTGATCAAAAATCTGTGGGGTGATCTGAAGAAAGCTGTGCACAGGAGATGTCCTCCCAATCTGACAGATTTGCAGTGTTTTTGCAAGGAAGAGTGGGAAAATATTGCCAAGTCAAGATGTGCCATGCTGATAGACTCATACCCAAAAAGATGTGAGTGCTGGAATAAAATCAAGGTGCTTCAACAAAATATTAGTTTAAGGGTGTGCATACTTATGCAACCATATTACTTTCGTTTTTTATTTTTACTTCCCTCCACCTAAAATATTTCAGTTTGTTGTTTAACTGAGCTGTACAGTTTATAGGTTACATTAAAGGTGAAAAAAGTTCTGAAATGATTTATCTTTGTCTCATTTTTTTACATCACAGAAATCTTAAATTTAAACAGGGGTGTGTAGACGTTTTATATCCAATGTATATGGAAAACATATGTGTACTTTAAATGTATTTTATCTTTTATTTTACTCTTTAAAACCTAAGTTCTGTGAATTTCTAGTACTTTCATCCTATGTCTGGCAATGTCTGGTTGGTGGGTATGACATATCGTATAAAATTACAGTCATTGTCCATGTAGAAGAATAGTGTGAGTGTCACTAGTTTTTAAAGCCAGCCACTCTTGGAAATTGAGAGGGAGAACTATGGGTCAATTTGACCAAAAACATAGGTTGCCAAATTATACAGTGTAGAGCAACTTGACCTCCTATGATGATAAGATCATCTATTATCCATTTTCATATTGCTAGGACCTGTTTGTACAGACATAACATAATGGATGGATAAATTATTCTGGCTGGTTTTACCAGTTTGCCAGATAATATTGATTTGGTTCAGAAGTAGAAAGCGCTGAGGTTATGATGGGACATCACACTATAAAATATTGTAGGTACAGCAGATGGTGAAGGCAGCTTAGAATCTTGTGACCCTGGTGACAACCAGAGATCCCCACACTTTGGAGGGATCTCCTTTCACTTCTTGTTTTGGCTATGGGACAGGAAGTGAAATGAAATCTCCCCAATGGGACACAAATGCCAAAAACAAAACTGCCAGGGTTTGTAACCCTCCATCTTGTTCAAAATGATAAAAAAAAGTTTTGCCTTTAGTTCTACTTTGATAGAGAGCTGGGGCTTTTATGCTATTGATTTGGCTTTGAATATCTATTGTGTGGATTTTTATTCAGAAATATGAAATGTTTCATGATTAGAAGCTGGAAATTAGATTTTCCTGTCTACAGAATGCCATATTATGTTTCTAGGCCCTCTAACATGTATCTGTCTAATTAGTAATAATAATGTCACTTTTATAACTCTATGTTAAGTAAAATGGTGCAGCGCTAAATACTAGAGCACACTTAATATACACAATATATATACATGCGTGATATCACTCTAAGGGTGATCAATGAATATAAAAGTTTGATGCAATAGTGCGGATCATATAAAGATCCTAATTCAAGGTGAGTGGATGTCCTGATCCAAGGTGTGATGATAGGTGTGATCACACAAATAGGTGAAAAACGCACTCACCAGATGTGCGTTTAATACACGCAATATGTAATCCTGCGTCACCAGGCAAAGAAACGATCATCAGATCCCAGATCAGATTGTACCCAGATCACCATCCCGGCTCCACGGAAGTAAGGTCATCCGAAACCGCTACCAGGTATCACCACCAGGGTCCTGAGTCCTCCAGACGGGCACAGCTTTTACCTCAACTGCTGTTTATCAACACAGCTGACCTTCTCTGCTTTTCCCTGAGGTTATGTTACTCCATGTGCTGGCGTCCATCTTGGATCATGGACCAACCTCATGGACTAACCTCAGGGAAAAGCAGAGAAGGTCAGCTGTGTTGATAAACAGCAGTTGACGTAAAAAGCTGTGCCCGTCTGGAGGACTCAGGACCCTGGTGGTGATACCTGGTAGCGGTTTCGGATGACCTTACTTCCGTGGAGCCGGGATGGTGATCTGGGTACAATCTGATCTGGGATCTGATGATCGTTTCTTTGCCTGGTGACGCAGGATTACATATTGCGTGTATTAAACGCACATCTGGTGAGTGCGTTTTTCACCTATTTGTGTGATCACACCTATCATCACACCTTGGATCAGGACGTCCACTCACCTTGAATTAGGATCTTTATATGATCCGCACTATTGCATCGAACTTTTATATTCATTGATCACCCTTAGAGTGATATCACGCATGTATATATATTGTGTATATTAACTGTGCTCTAGTATTTAGCGCTGCACCATTTTACTTAACATATATGTCTGATTGGAGGTTTTATTTGGTTACCTTTTCGGTGTATCAGCTGCTCAGTAACATTCTCTGTGTATACGCATTTACACACTTTTTGTGTATACACATCTATACGTTTTTTGCATTTAAGTTGCGCTCACTATAACATCTTATATTACTTTTATAACTCTGTTATTCTTTATTTGCAGTAGAATTCCCAACACCAAAGACAGAACTTGTACAGAAGTTTCATCTGCTGTATATTGGAATGCTGCCATGCACTAAACCAACAGGTATTATATGCATAATCTAACAGAACCGTGTAGAACCTCACAAAATGATCAGATCTAAAAGTTCACGCCACCTCCATACACCCCCCCCCCCCAACATACAAACCTTACTAGCAATTCTTTGCCACTCCCTTTTCCTCCTCCTCTGCCTGTACTAACATGACTGTTGTCTTGGTAGCACTGGCTTCTCTTCCCCAGTCATAGGACAGATTAGTGTTTTAGACCCAATCATTGTCACAGGTAAGGGCGGACTGACCATTTGGAAACTCGGGCACTGCCCGAGGGTCTGGGGTCAGTAGGGGGCCCCATGAGATGCCCCTGGTACCTTTTTTTCATAGGCTTTTTTTTAGTTTGGGCAAGGACACAGGGGCCCCATGATCCCCTATTGCCCGGGGGCCCCATGAGTTGTCAGTCCGCCCCTGGTCACAGGGGAAGCAATCACATGCTTCTCCATACCTGGAAGTGCCCGGTATTGTGGACAGCCATGGAGGAAGGAAAAGCAGTGGGGGAACATTAGTAATGTGAGTAAAATGTGGTCAGGGTGCCCTTTGCAGAGCCACAGTGACTTTGCCCTGCATGGTGACAGCAGGCTCCATTCACAAAATGGTATCTACCACTCTAAGAAATACAGCCCAGCATTTTTCAAAACATTTTTTGCATTCGCTTACAAATGCTTCTAAAATACTGCATGCAGCATTTTTCCGAAATATGCAGTATTTATTTCATGAGACCATGCAGTATTTTATCTCATGCGATATCCAGTCGGATGGATACAGTGGAAAAGACTTACAATCCCTATCAGTTTTTATTGCTAATAAAGAGTTTAAACCGTAGAAATATGCCAACTCACTAAGTCAGTGCGGTCCCTGCAGCAGATGTACTAATACAAAAGAACAAAGGTGATTAAATACCAGTCAAAGGGAAGCTGCTTTCACAAGCCACATGTGGTGTATCAAAAACAACTAAGTAAAATGAAGTAAATACACAATATTTTTATAAATGTCAAATAATGAATGAAAATAGTATAATAAATCACATGCATATAATCACACGCATATAATCACACGCATATAATCACACGCACATAATCACACGCACATAATCACACGCATATAATCACACGCATATAATCACACGCATATAATCACACACATATAATCACACACATAATCACACGCATATAATCACACGCATATAATCACACGCATATAATCACACGCATATAATCACACGCATCATAATCATAATCACACGCACATAATCACACGCACATAATCACACGCATAATCACACACAATCACACACATATAATCACACGCACGTAATCAGGCGCACGTAATCACGCACACGTAATCACGCGCATGTAATCACACACACACATAATCACACGCACATAATCACACGCATATAATCACACGCATATAATCACACACACACGTAATCACGTGCACGTAATCACGTGCACGTAATCACGTGCACGTAATCACGTGCACGTAATCACACACACGCACGTAATCACACGCGCGTAATCACACACACGCGCGTAATCACACGCGCGTAAATCACACGCACGTAATCACACGCACGTAATCACACGCACATAATCACACGCACATAATCACACACACATATAATCACACGCACATAATCACACGCATATAATCACACACATATAATCACACACATATAATCACACGCCTTCTTTCACCAATAAAAATGTTGTCTGAGAACACCTATTAGGTTTTTTACTGCTGTCTGTCCCCATTAGGGAGATTCTCCTTCTCTATTTGTCCTGTTTACCATTATCATTGAAAGTAAAATGAAAAGAAAATCCCAAAGTTTGGGTTGTCCCTAGAAAAGTAGGAGGGGAAATCATCCAATGGAAACACAGATGGCAAAAAAACTGACAGAGGTTATAACCCTTCAATACTCTATCCAAAATGAAAAAGAAAGTTTTGCCTTTAGTTACACTTTCAAGCAGTCTTCCTCAACCATTTCATTACAGAGGAACCCTTGAAATAGTTTTCCATTCTCAGGAAACCCCTGCTACAAATGACTGTATCTACAATTCATGATACATTGGTGTGATGGTCAGTGGGAAGAATGGTCCTTACACTTGTGGTCACTGGGAAGAATTCCTCCCTTATAGATAGCTAAAAAGATCAATGGTGTCAGTTGGAACTTGTCAGTTCTAAAAATAATTGTGAAAAATTAAAGTATCCCCACTACATATGACATATGTTTTAACAAGGGATTAGACCATTGTGATATGCATGTACATTGTATCATGTTTGGAGTAGTGATGGGCCAAACACCCCCCTGCTTGGTTTGCGGTTGAACATTTGAACCTACCGAAAGTTCGACTGCGTACTTCCAACAGGGCCAATTTAAGTCATGTGGTATTTTAGTAGTGAAGACATTCTTCAATGTTTCAGGCAATGCCCAGCAATTAAAAAAAAAAGCAAAAACATGTGGGGTCCCCCCCCCCCATCCATACCAAGTCTTTTGGGTCTGGCATGGATTTGGAGGGGAACCTTCCACGCCACAATTTTTAAAAAAAAATGGTCCAAATCCATACCAGACCCTTATCTAAGAATGCAGCCCGGCAGGTCAGGAAAGGGGGGGGGGTGAGCAACCCCCCCCCCCTGAAGCATACCAGGCCACATGCCCTCAAAATGGGTGGGTGGTTTGGGGTAGGGGGGCTCCCCCCAAAAGCACCTTGTCCCCAGGACAAGGGCCTCTTCCCCACAACCATGGCCGGTGGTGGTGGGGGGCTTATTGGAATCTGAAAGATCCCTTTAACAAGGGGGCCCCCAAGTCCCCCCCCCCCCCCCATGATTACTACCCATTCACAATAAAAGACAGTCTTTGACAAGTCCTTTATTAAAAACAAAAATAAAAAAATCCCCTGAAGTAGATCTAATGTCAATCACGATGCCCGCTGCCATTGGTCACCCCCAGCCCCTTGTGATGTCATCATGCACTGTGATTGGCCATAGCATTGCACCTGACCTGTGTTCTAATCCACCTCCACTCTATCCAAGACCCCAGTAACAATGTAAAATGAAATCAGATACGGGTACAGAAGAATCTCTTCTGGCTAATAAAGGAATAGTAGGTACCTTGTGATCTAAACATCTTTTATTCACTGTTAAAGAATCATTGTTGTTGCTTGGTTTTAGATGCAAATGTGCGCTCTTTGCTTTTCTTCTTTTAAGGTATGGATATTATTAATGAAGTCATTGAAGGGCTTATCGAACAATCAGACAAAGAAAATTGGGTTCCAGTTATTATGAATGTAGCTGATGCTACTGTAACAGTTATTAAAGAAAAGGTGAGTAACCAAGGGATTTACTCTACATATATGCATAGATACAGGTGTCTCAGAGTCCGTACAAATAGACTGAAAAATTGTTTTTTTTCCCTGTGGCTGTTAAAGCATTGAACAGCTAATCAGTAGACAATATTGCATTACTGTATATTTTATTCATCATTGCATTACTGAATATTTCATCCATTAATGCACTACTCATTGCACTGATTATGGTACGACTGTACATTCCATACCCTGATTTTCGTTATATTATGGGCCATTTATGCACTTCTGGCTGGATGCTAACTGCATTTCATTGGCTCTGTACATGTACTTTGCACAATGACAATAAAGTTGAATCTAATCTAATTAGTAGCTCTGTACCTTATTAGCTGTTATCATTGACTGAAAGAGCAGAGATCTAGAATGTAGTGAAATGTGCAGTAACCCACAGAAACAAGTCAGTTTTCACTAAAAGATGCGTTCTGATTAGTTGTTGGGTACTGCTGCTGTATATAGTACAATCCACAATATTTTTCATTGTTGGTGCATATGGACAAAATGGAAACTGTTTGTGTTTTTCCCAGTTGTCAGGAAAGTGAGGAAGGCTTAAGCAGGGACCAGTCGAATTTCAATCCATCTATAGCTGTTCCCGTTCCTGAGAAGTTGATCTAATGATTGCTTTCCCACGAATGGGCTTGTTGGAAATTCTTGTGCAGCCAATCTGCAGCAGCGCTGATCAGTGTATTCTGACAACAGAAGAGTCCCCACTGTCAGAGTACAATAACAGCAGGGAGGATTCCTCCATCTACCTTGTGGATGGGGGAATCTGTTCAATGTTTTTTTTATCAGCTTGGTGGCTGATTAAAAAACTAACCCGTGTATACCGAGCTTTAGAGCTTGTGTAAATTTATTATTGCCTGTATAACCATTGGGAAACTTCCCCATATTTATGCTGTGGAGACTTCATTCCAACAGGTCACTGACCTCCACTTCACACATTAATGGCATCTGACTCATGTGTGACCATGGGTGGCACTATTTTCAATGAATGTAAGACATGTCACCAGCACACTTTTCTCTTGATGGCTAAAGTTCCTTTTTTGCATATAATTTAAGTCACAAATCATATCCAATACACTGATTTGTGATTTCCATTATGCACAGACATCTGTAAAGGATTTTTTGTGTAGAAAGAAAGATGATACCGACAACAAAATGTTCTGCAACCCAGTGCCGCAAGGTTTGAGTACTAACCACATACCAGGGCCACCCTAAATCACCAACACAAAGCACTTGTTTGGCTTATGTTTTGTCACATAATGCCTAAAATATATGCTAAGATAGAGTAGCAATGGACAATGATGTTCATAGGATTGGTAAAGAATTAGAGATCGAACTTTGGTGAAGCAGATATTCACTAACCCGCCTTCTCTCTCTTTTTTTTCTCCATCTTTTTTATATTGCGTGAATGTTTGCTCCTGCATTAACATTTTTCTATTTACATTGAGTTAATGTGGCTATATATGGCCCAGAAGCATCAACTGGAAGGTCTCATCAGGCCAGTAATCAATGTTTCCAAACCGTAGACATGTTTATTATCCTCTCCTACTTCGTTAAGGTGTACGTTTATAAGCAGAGATAAGTTATCTCATTTCAGTTCTCTGCACTTCTCAGGGAAAAATCTTCTCCTCTGTTCCCTGTTTATGAAGCGGAGAATCTTTGTTCTCAGAAGGAGAAGAGAGGAGAAGTTTTTCCTCTGAGAACAGTTGAGATCTGTAGAAGGGGAAGGGCTGCATGTGATCTCCTGAGATAATTGTGTGATTACAGATCGCCTGAGTATGAACAGTGAAACCAAAGTTAGAAAGATGATGTAATTACATGAAAATAACAAGCACTGACCACTGGTACTTTTTACGCACATTTAGGCATATTCTTTAAATGTATTTTGGCTCATTTTTATTGCGCATTTTAGCATTATTTACGTTCATTTTGTCGCTTTTTAACGTGGATTTTGATGTGGGTTTTTTTAATGCGCATTTTCTAAACACATTTAGGCGCTTTCATGCTCATTTTGGTACAGGTTATTTTAACATGCATTTCCATGCATTGTTTTTGTGGTTTGTAACACGCATTTTGGCAGTTTTCTTAGCATGTATTTTGGCACTTTTTTAAAGTGCATTTTGATTTGGTTTTCATGCATATTTTGGCAAACTGCACATCTGCTATTCACTTTTGGGTGCCATTAACAAATGATGACACCACAAACATGACATGCATTTTTCATGCATTTCCAGAACACACACAAAAACGCAGGTAAAAAATTAACCAAAATACATGTTAAGCACCAAAATGCACATAAAAATTTCAATTCACATTTTTAAAAAAATGTGTGTTGAAAAAATTAGCAAAATGTTTGTTAAAAACTGCACCAAAATGTGCATTAAAAAGGCCCAAAAAAGCCAAACTGAACCTTTTGGGGCATGGAGTGTTGTGTGTTTTTTCAAGTGGACAATCCAAATGCACACGTTCCTGCGTTAAAAATGGCTGTGTGTATATGTGAGTGCTGCAGCGACCGTTGGCTGGAACTGAACAGAATCAGCAAGGGAGAATGTCACCAGCACACCGAGGATCACCAATATGGGTCCAAAAGTTTTAATGAACCATCACATAGTTACACCACGGCAACGTTTTTTGAGTCTCGCAGAACCCCTTCATCAGGTATATGTCCTGCGAGCCTCTGAAACATTGCCTTGCTGTAATTATGTGATCATTCATTAAAACCTTTGGACCCATATTGGTGATCCTCGGTGTGCTGGTAACATTCTCCCTTGTGTGTTTTTTCAATGCACATTTTGGTGTACTGATTGCGTATTTGTCAAATGACAAAATGTGCGGCAAAATGCATGTCTGCTAACTGCATTTGGGGTGCCATTAACAATGAATGATACCCAAAAGGGCACTGCATATTTTAACACAATTTTAGAACAAGTTGGAAATGCGGCAAGAATTGTAATTCTGCCAACAATTCTGCATTGCTCAGGTGTTCATGTGTTCTGACTGACAGTAGACTATAACTATACTGTATGTGTGTGTATATATATATATACTGTACACTATATATAAAACACAAATATACATACATAAACATATATAGCTATAATTTATATCAATGTTTAACCCTGCTGGTGCTGACAGTAGGAAGAAAAAAGCCTTCCTCACATCACAGCAGCTTCTCACCAAGATCCTCCAGCTCTGGGCTGAAGAATCTGGGACGGAGATAATTTACAGAGATCTTCAGATCTCTCCGGCCATCTTTGGAAAAGTGAATGACAGAAGGGTGTGTCCTGTGAAGAAAATGTTCTCCACTCCTCACCTCAGCTCCATAAACTGACACACCTGAGAGATCAGCTGTGATCATCAGGATCTCGGCTTTTCTCTCTTTCACAAACAGACACCTTAGAGTTTTTAGCAACATTCCTACTCAGCTAATTTGAATTAATGCACTTAATAAATACACTAGTCCACCCTCATTATCCCTCTAACCTATATTAACCTAGACACCTCCCATCTAGCTTTGCTTGCTTACTTGGCTTTGGAGGTGCAACCTTCTTTTACATCTTCTAGGCAGAAATCTGCTAAACAAGGGTTGAATTTCATGGTGAGCCCTCATCACCTCAAATTATTATACAGGATTTATATAGCGCCAACAGTTTGCTCAGCGCTTTACAATATAACAGGAGACAATACAGCAACAATACAGTTCAATACAAAAGGGTTAGGAGGGCCTGATCCTGGGAGCTTACAATCTAGGAGAATGGAGAATCTTAGAGTACAGCCCCAGCAGGAACCATCAATACATAAAACCTGCTTAAAGCGGAGTTCCACCTGAAAAAAAATAAAATAAAAAAATAAAAGTCAGCAGCTAAAAAAAACTGTAGCTGCTGACTTTTAAAATACAGCCACTTACCTGTCCCTTGGTCCAGCGGTTTCAATGGCCACTTTCTCTCCCTGGCGCCGGCATCTTTAGTGTGGACACCCAGCTGTGACAGCTTGCCTACTGCTCTTGCGCGAGAAGCGCTGCAATTTGTGAATGGCTCCGTAGTCTTTTGGGACCTGTCACGTGTCCCAGAAGTCTACGGGGGGGGGGACAACAACCTCCGCTTCCGATCGCTTAGGCGATCGCAGCGGAAGTGGGAGCGAGTACCTGTCAAATTCGGGTTCCCACTTTCCCAAGGTGCCAATCCTTAATGGGGAGCGGGGGGGACAAAGGCTTAAAGTGGAACTTCCCCTTTTGGGTGGAGTTACGCTTTAAGGCTACATTCACTTGGATGTTTCTATCTGACAGCAGCTAAAAGACAGCACTTGAAAAAGTTGAAATATGTCCTGCAAAAAGTTGCAGTTTGCAAGTGAGTTCAGCTGCGTTTAGCTGCAGAGAGCTGCATCAGTGTTTTAAGGAGTATTTTTTTCCAATACTTCATTCTTGGGGGATGTTATACCCCAGGCTTCTCCTTTTCCATTTTGTTGGTAGTTTTCTGAGCAAGGAGACAGAGCTGTGTGATTGAAATGGAGTGCAAAGCAAAGCTGCATTGTACCATAGCCTGATCTAGGGGGGTGCTGGGGTGTGCTATGCCCCCTCAGATTTTAGTTGTGCCCCCCCCCCCCAAAGCCAACCCTAACCTGCCAGGATACTGCCCTAACCTGCTGCTATACTACCCTAACCTGCCACTATACTGCCCTAATCTGACACTATACCACCCTAATCAGATACTTTATTGTCCTAATTTGACACTATACTGCCTTGACCTGACAGTGTGCAGTACAGGAATGGTAGAAGGAGCCATGCCTCTGTCTTCTGACCTGCCAGCAGTGACCCCTGTCCTCTGCCCTGCTGACCTCCCATCCCCTGTCCCCCAAAATTTTTTACTGCACCCCCAAATCAGACAGGCTAAATCTGTCCCTGCATTGTAGTGTGGTACCATGCGATTTGGTGCCCGAAAACAGACTGTATTGTGATCTGT